ATTACAGAGTAAATTGTTTTGAACCGGAAATTTTGTGAGATAGAATTTTTAGCGTTTTTACATTTTCAATATTTTCTTTCCTGAATTAATGTTTTAATGTAAATTTTCTCAAAGCTTATCTGTACTATAGCAATAAAAGCAATTTATAAGAATTATTTGGCTAATTCATTAAAACCAAAAAGTAGTAATGTTTGAGAAGGAGAAATCTAAAAAGTGAAAAAGATTCATTGTTCATGGCGGCCCAAAACAATGACGTAAGAAGCAATTAGATAAAGGCCAAGATAAACAAAAGGTATGAATGATTTATATTATTTACATTATTTGCATTGATCAGAGTCTTTTCCTCATCTTTATTGTCATATTCATGATGTTTCGGCCGTTGTACCCAATTGTTTATAAGAGTTGAAGTAATCCAGTGACTTGACCCAAAGAATTGTGAGTTCGATACCTGGCCACAGTAGAGGTGAACAAAAAACTTGAAGAATTAAGTTATTCAAGGGAAATAACTGAAACTAAGATATCCCGAAAAAGCATGGCACCTGGTGCTAGAACAATGTGCCCCGGTGGACGAAATAGCGGGTTCGATTCGAAATTTCAACGTATATCACCTGAAGAAGGCCGGAGCGTACAACGGCTGAAACGTTGTTAATATGGCAATACAGATGACGACAGTAGTTCGAACAATGTAAATAATATAAATAGTGTGAATAGTAATAATACCTCATCTCAGAAATATAGACAGATATTAAAAAGCATGAAAATAACAAATGCATACTATACACAGATAAAAATCTCAGCTAACACGGAACGTTCTTGTAAAGTTGCAGAAACGTTGTGTTTTGGTTGGGTCATGTGCGACGTTGTAGCTCCGTTACTGTAACGTTGCTGTCAAGTATTTTCCTGAATTCAAATTCACTGCCATATCCCCAACGTGGTTACAATCTTATGGTAACGGTGCAAAGTACAGTAGCTGAAAATCTCTGCACTGGTCAAATAACAATATTTTTAACAGTACAAGAAGCATAGAATATATAACATTTCTTTGCGCATTTTTTACTGATAAATTCGTTTTCAACCCATTGAAGGCTATTTAAAGCCAGAAATAGTTTTAGATTGTCGGAATTTTTTGGAGATAATAATTTTAGCGATACAAGTCTTACTAATTAACCCATAGCTGGGTGAGAAAAGCTAGTTTCATGCTTTTCCTAAATATATTTTTGCATAAGTGAATATAACGAATCCAACTGGAATTGAAACTCGGCTCTCCGATTAACAATTCCGAGCCATGATACATTACACCACCCGCACATCCAAGCTTTCAGCACCTGGTATTCCTACTCGTACTGGAATAGATGTTTCAATTTGAAATGGCTGTAAGCCCCCATTTTTAAACTGAGAATTACTAATTTAAATGATGAATGCACGTGTTAATATCTTTCTGGTATGTATAATATATTTTCTGTGAGGAACCTGGTATTTACAAGTCAACGTATTTGTAGCTTTACAAGGTAAGGTTGTGAGCAGGTTTTGAGGGGTCTACAAATAAAAAAAGGTTTTTGCAACCTTTATGTAACGTTGCTGAAACAAAATTTTGTTAGCTGGGATATGACATTCAACCACATAATAAGCAAATCTTTTTATTCCAGAAAAAAAAATCAGCCTACCTGGGCAAGTACAATGATCCAGTAAGAATAAAAAGTAAATGACTGTGATTTAGACATACAGACCAGAATTATTAGAGAATGAAAAAAATAAAACAAAAAAAAAAAAAAAAAAGAATTTTTGGGGGGAATGAATCATAACATCCGTTCCAGAAGACCAAATTTAATGGTTAAAAGACAAAACAAAATCCCCAAAAAACAAACAAACAAACAAACAAAAAAAAACCTAATTCGCGGTTTTAGCTGAACATATCGAAAAATTAATGTATAGTAAATGTCTGGATTTCACTAGAGAACTGAAGAAATAATATAACACGATGATGACAGTTGTGCTAATCGTTGTTGGAACACTGGGAACGATCCTGAAAATCCGAGGGAAAATTCTGAAGGCACTAGAAATATGAGAAAGAATCAAGACAACACTACTGCAGAACACAGAATACTGAGGAGAGTACTTGAGTACTGAATAAACTTACTGTCTCTTGATCTCTAGTGTCATATATTCGTTAATAACTCAATTAAGTGAAGAAGAAGAAAAAAGAAATAATAATAGTATCTCACTTGCATCCCAATGCTGATGTTGATAATCTGTATGTACCCAGATCCAAAGGTGTAAAAGCATTAGTTCAACTAGTACTGTCTTAAAAAGTATAACAATTGATCTTCAAAGATATCTAGAAACTAAAAAGACTGGACGATGATCTGCGTCAAAGAACATGAAAGAAATAAGAAACTTTATTTAGTAATAAAGGAAGCCAACAAATTCAAAAGGGAATTTCAAGTGGGTGAAGAAATGCAAGTAAAGTGTAATACATGAACTGCAGCTGCAAAATACTTAAAAAGAAAGCAAAGGCAACCGACCAGATACAGAAACGATGGTAAGATAAGAGTCCTTACCAAAGAAGCTGATGTAGACAAAACCCAGTACTCATTTAGTGCTTACGTAGTGCAGGGTTAAAAGCTGAAACCGAAAGTTTTATCCTTGCTGCACGGGATCAATGCTTGAAATTACCAAGCACACATACTGAAAAAGTGTGTTAGCCCAAAATGCAGATCCTGTGATAAATATCAGGAAACAATTGACTATCTTGTATCAGATTGCACGGTATTGGCACCCACTGAATATAAAACCCCGCTTGACAGAGTGGGCCAATATCTGCACTGGAAAAATTGCAACTTTTACGGAAAGGACGCTGCAATAAATTTGTATGAATACAACCAGACCCAGTTACGGAAACAATTTTATGGGACTTAAAACAATGCACACAGACAGAACAATCAAATCTAACCACCCAGACATCGTGATTAAGTAACCACAAAGACAAAATAAGCTTTCTTATTGACATGGCAGTTCCTAGAGATTCTAATGTATCTTTGAAGATCTTCAAAAACTATCAAACTACAAGGACCTTGAAATCGAAATATATAAAATGTGACACGTGAGGACATCAGCAATTTCAGTTATAGCTGGAGCCTTCGGATGGATTGGAATCGATTTCAATACACTCATTGAAGCAATTCCTAGTAGCCCATGCGTTAAAGAAATACAAAAAATTATTCTCATAAATACAGCCCACACCTTACAAAGGGTTTTATCTATGTAAAATATATGTGATCTTTTTCAAAACTGCTCAATAGAAAATGTCATGATGCTATTTCTGACCTTAGGTCTCTGGTCGGGACCCAGAAAGAAATGAGTACACACTAGAAATCAAAGTAAATAAAAATAATTAAATATTAATAATAATAATAATAATATCCGTGTAAAAAGAAATGCCTAAATTATAGAATATCTTCAAAAGACTAAACAATGTAATCTACGTAATATGTTAATTAGTCTAATTTTTCCTGAAGCTACGATGCAATTCCTGGGGATGTAGTCCGTAGATGGGTGATTGCTTGAGAGTACCAGGACTGTAAGCTTAGATGTGCGGGTGGTGTAATGGATAATGGCTCGGAATTGTTAATCAGAGAGCCGATTTCTAATTTTCTAATTTCAGTTGGTTATATTCACTTACGCACAAATACCATTGGGAAAGTTATAAATCTAACTTTCTAACTAAATCTAACTCTCTCCTCAGCTATGGGTTAATTAGTAAGATTTTTATTACTAAATCATTGTTATCGCCCCAAAATTTCTGACAATCTAAAAATATTTTTTGGCTTTAAATAACCTACAGAGGGTTGATAAGGCGTAAAAAAAACGAATGAATCGAATCAAATAGACCAATGGTGTGTTCGTCAAAGGCATCACTGCGTTCAAAGCAGATGCTAAAGAGTGTAGCTAGCGGAAGACACATTCATATGGAGCCCTGAAATTCTACTGTGCTGCTTGCCTTAGCACACAGCTGCTTATTAATAGGGATCAACTCCTTACCCATGTTGCATTTGTTCATTGTTGCCCAGAATGCATTATGCCATGCTATGTTAAAGCTTTTTTTTGTTTAAAAAAAAAGGGAAGAGGTTTTGTTGATTCTGTCAGTATTTTTCGCATAGATTGAATATCTATTCTGTGGTGATTTTTTTACAACGAAATTCAGCCTGTTCTTCACCGATTATTTCCTCTGCTTGTAGCACTGGTCTATTTGGTGAAACATCTAGGAATTTAAATAAAAAAATATATATGAACACATAAAAACAAAACACGCTCAATATATTAATACTCTTTTTTGAGGGTTGGACGGGACTTACTAACATCATATATTTGTTTGGTTTGTTTTCATATTTAGTTTGTTTTTTGGGTTCATCCCCTCTCATTGTAAATTATGCATAGATTTTTATGATCATGAAATTTTTGTCATGAGGTGCGACATTATGGTATATAGAGGATTGAGTGATGACAGATGAGTTCTTGTGGTGAATGTGCAAATTGTAATGCATGAATGGGCCGTGTATCAGATTAGCTAGGTATAAGATAGTCAGTGAAAACCAGTCTTAACCCATTCCCCCCTTTTTTCAGCCTTGTGTCATAATTGTATTTTATATAACAAATCTCAGTAAAATGAAGACAGGAATAAAATAATTTAGTCATGCAATATTTACAATAAATCACCCTATACGAAAAGTGAGAGCATAAATGACTTTTTTTTTTACTTGTGTATAACTGAGAGTAGGAGTAATATATTTTTACCTCTTTTTAAGTGGATTCGCCTGCACATTAGTGATATTAAAAAAATTTATAAAAGTTTTTTTTTTCTTCCCCCCCGTAACACGCAGAAACTGCAGACATACGTGCTAGAGGAAAAAGTATTTTTAACCAAAACAACAAAAAAAACACAAACAACATTTCAATTAAATCTAAACCGAAGAATGTCTAAAGTTAAACCTCGTTTGGCACGCATGTTCTCAGCTCGTCTTAGTAGTGATACTGAAAACTGCAGTTTAACTACTGTCCTTCAACATGGTCCTCATATTTTAATTATTGATCATGCCAATCGGAAAGTTAAAAATTTCACTCAAGAAGGAATTTGGCTTAGTGATTATTGTTTTGATAAACCTCCCCGTCGCGCTTGCATTACACCCGATGGTGAGATTGTGGTTACTCTCCAAGGGGCATACATGATTGCCTTCCTCATAAAAATTGGTTTCGAGTTGTTTTTTTCCCATTACATTGTGACGGCGAAAGACTACGCTTTAGTCGAGGCTTTCGACGACAAAATACTTATCTGTGCTAAGTGTGGCTATCCTGGTTGCATCGACACCATTGATTACAGAGGGCAAATACTAAAGACCTTCTCCCAGTATTCTATTGATGGCTTGTCAGTTCTCTTCCCATCTTATCTGTCTGTATTGCCGTCCGGTACACTACTAATGAGTGAGTTAAGAAGTGATGGTTACCAGGCGTTGATATGTTGTGACACATCCGGAAATATTCGCTATTTTTACCAAGGGGAAGGCCAAAACGTAGTCAAATGCCCGTCTGGTGTAGCCACCGATCAGAACGGTCTAGTCTACTTGGCTTGTCGATTCAAACACAAAATCTACAGTCTCTCTTCAAATGGAACATTGAAAGCTGTACTTTTAAAAGAAAATAACATCATGAACCCGGGCTCGATTTTTGTCTCTCCTTCCGGTGCAACTATGCTGGTGACTGAATTTGGGTCGGAAATGGTGAAAATATTCGACCTCTATTCACCCTCTACAAAGAACAGAGGATAATGACTTGTATTTGAAATTATGCGAAGAAAATACTAAAACGAAGTTTCCACTTGAATACACATTTTTTGGAAATGGCTAATGGAATCTGAAGTCAATAAGTTTCAGTAGGAAACTTTTCTAAGTTTAAAAAATATTAAACAAACCATTTTCTTTGGCCAATTTTTCCAAGATGGGCGCTTATGTAGTAAAATATAGGAAACCATTAAAACCAAGCACTGCTACTCTTTAGTTACCAAGTCATTATTACTTGCTCAGTTAATCGTAAGGCAGTAACAGTTCTCCGTTTGATTTTTTTTTTCTTTATAAAGTCCATATTTACTATGGATTTTAAAATTTCCATAATTTTAACACTTAATTTATTACTTTTTTTTTTTTTTTTTTTTTTTTTTTTTATTTTTACTTGTAAATATCCTTTTTATTATGTACATAAAACATTAGACGCTCATAAATTAAGATTACAACCATAATTTTTAGTGTCCAATCTATTTTTTATACCTTGAATCTTACGAGTTGTCTCCTAAACAATTAACTTGTATACTTTAAACTCTAATTTACGTCTTTTACATTTCAGTAAAAGGTGTTATAAATGAAATGGTCATCTACCAGTAAGTCCTTAACAAATTAAAATCCGATTTGATCCAGGCTTCTTGCAAGTTTACATGAACGCATTAAGCTGGAGCGTCACGTGTCATTACATATTTCTACTTGGTCTAACGTGCACTCGAAAAGATTTTCGAAACTTAAACTTTAGCACCGTTTCATACAGGTGCTATAAAAAAAAATTAAATCTAAAATGAAATACTTATGCACTGAATATTGCTTATTTGAAAAGAGTCCCGTTTTTAACCAATAACTTACCAGTTGAACTGACTTTTCTATGTGAGGTCAGATTCAAACAGACCAGTTTGTATATTGTTAATTGTTACCTTTGTATCGATACTTTAATTTGACGTACTCCATGTACGCAACCGTACTTTAAAATTTTCAACGGTTTAAATCTAAGAATGACTTGTAATATTGTGGAAGCCCTATACAATTGTTTACTTCAGCAAGCGTGTTTTGCTTTAGTTTTCGGTACCCATTTGTATAAATATGAAATTAGAATTTTCTGTCGTTAAGTTAATCCGCCACTCCTTAATTTACTGTTATTGCGTGTTTGATTAGACAATATGAAAATCTTTCGGTCGCCATCATTAAATCTTAATATCGGATACTTATCTCTAGAAATAGCAGTAACCAAAGACTTGTAAACACAATGAATCTTTGCAATATATTCTAGATTTGTTACAAATAATTGGAGACTTAATTTTGAAAAGTTAAATTCAGTAAAATATAAATTACATTTACGTTCTTTTGGCTTGTTTTAAAGGTTATAGTTTAAACAAAGATCAAAGTTGTCCGGTGTGTTCCTTTTCACAACTGCTCTACCATCACTTATCTCATAAGCCTAGGTCTTATTTTTTTTTTCCCTTGAACTTTTTAGTTTTTTTACATAATTTTGTACTTAAATTTAATTTCTAAGACATCAAAAATGAGTTGTCAATCAATTTTCAAGGGTTTCAACTTTTGAATTCCAACAATGAAATCGTCAAAGTAATGATGTTACGTAGGTCTTAAGAGTCTATCTTTAGGCGATACAGCACACGCGCGCCAAATGAATTTGATTAAATTATCCTTTGACATTTTTAATCTTTTATCTACTTGTATAAAACAAGACATCAGTTGTTTTGAATTCCTTTATCTAAAAATAATTCTTGTTGACGAAATGTAACACGACACAAAAATATAAACATAAACCAGAATTAAAGCGATATTTTCAGTTCTGGAATGTTAACGAATATTAATTGCAACTTGATAATTGGTCATTTTGCCGATTACACGTTCATATCAATTTCCTTTCTTGCTTACACTAGAAAAATAATCAAATCCGGTGTTGTAGGTATATATATATATATATATATATATATAATTTCGATGTGGTGTAATAATTATCAAACTTGTATTGCTAGATCAATTACAAATTAATAGCGACTTCGATCCTCACTACGCTTAGTAAATCTGTATTATATAGGCATTAATATCCCTATGAGAAAAAGCCAAGGCTAACTTTTATTTATTCAATTCATCGACGTTTTCATTTACGTGTGTGTGGCTGTGTATTCTCCGAAATCAATGAACGACAGATGTAACTAGTTCAGTCATGAAATGAATTGATACCTGACGTTCGCCCTATACAGATATGAATATAAAATATATCTAACAAATTTAGAATAATCCTGTATGGCAATTACTTGTACACCATGTTTTTTTTTTTTTTTTTTTTTTTTTTTTCATCATATTCGTTAATTATTGTCGTTCAATACAGAACGTGAGAACTATAAAACACAAATTTGTACGTTATTTCTTGCAGAGAAAAAAAAACCAAAATGCCATTTATAAATATCAAGTCGGTAATGACAGCAAACAATTGAACTAATGAGCCTCTCAGCTTAAAAATGGTTTTCCTGATTTAAAAAGGTAATACACATTCGATCCCTGTCGGAGGCACATTTTCTATTTAGTCTGTCTTGTTTTCTAAGCGTGTTAAGATTAATTTCTAAGTTTAAAAATAGACTTAACCCGTAGATATAAATTTTATCCTAACAGGAAATAATATCGGATTAAACAATTTATCTATAAGAAAAATGTAAAATATTCTAATCACTAGATAAACATTCTTTTCAGTTTTCTTTATTCCTTTTTTTTATTCGCGTTAAAACAATTTCTCTTTCTTTATTTTATTTCTCTCTCTCTCTCTCTCTCTCTCTCTATATATATATATATATATATATATATATATATATATATATATATATATATATATATATATATATATATATATATATATATATAAAAAGCAAAAATGAGTATTGCTAGACAGAAATTGCTGTTCTTGTTGTTATCGCTGCTGCAGAGTACCATTCAGGACGCTAACAATCATGGCTTTCCATAATTATTTATTTACAAACCAACCTTGCTTAAAATCGAATATTTATAATTCTCTATTTCATTATTTTAAAAGAACAGCACTAAAAAATGTTTTTATTTCTCAATTTTCTCTCTACGTTATTTTTGCTTTCCATTTTTCTTTCATTCATCATTCTCCCACCCACCATCCCATACTTCCTCCCTTTATTTTCATAACTCATTAGCATATAAATCCACCTTATTTACATTGATTTCTTATCCTACGCAAAATAGAAGACCTCAAGTATGAGGAATGCATGTACTTATCTTCAGGGAGGAGAGCGACATTTCTTAATGTACCTTCAATAATCCGCCGAAAAAAGGCTCCCAAACTTAAACAGTTTTATCTTAAATGTTTATCATTAAGAGGAAAGTCGTCGTCATCATCATAATAATTTTTTTTAGCACGTTCGAAATTTTGATTAAAAATCGTTTTTTTTTTCGTCAGCTGTCATGTAATAATTTACCATTTTAGTTGTTTTTTTTTGTTTTAGCTGTAAAAACGCATTGATTTGGAAATTCTTGCAGAAATGCAATAATTGTCGGATATTAGTGGAACTTTCAGAACTTATTCACAAATGAATGAAATTATTTTAGAAATGTTTGCTTTTTTAGAAAATCACGGTAAAAATATTTTTTAAATGTTACCATACGGTATTTTAAAAATATTTTTTAATATGCAAAAGTGTACTAAAAGACGTTTTCTCAAACTATGGATGCACTGTTCAGAAATAATAGGTTATGTGTTTTAAGAGAAAGGGCTTAAGAAATTGCTTTGCTTTCCTTCCGCCTAGCACGTATCAAATTCTCTATCATATTCGCACTTTGAAAATTTTTAATTTTCTTTTTACATACTATTATTATTTTTCAGTGAGACATATTAAAAATTTCTTTTTTTAGTTTTTTTAGATTCAATTTTAGGGATGGAATCAGGAGGCTTTGGACATTTCTTCGTTAAGAAAGTACCTAAAGAAATAACGACTTAAAAGTATTTAATTTTTAAAAATTACTGTATAATTAAATAATCTGGTTCACTTAAAATTCGAAAATACTGTCTTTTCTGTCCTTTCGTCCGATAAATTGCCCCGGCGTTATTTGTTGGAACATTGACGTCAATTCACACCTCCAAAAGAAATCACCACGGTTAGACACGCTTCTCTTATTTTCAATTTTTTTCTTTTTTTTTTTTTTAAAAAAAAAAAAGATTTGTTTCCAATTACATTAAGTAAACTTTATTTTTTTTTATTTTCCTTTATAACTTTTGAAAAATATGTAATTGATTTTTTTACAAGATTTTTAAATGGAGAATTTCACTTTTGTTTACAAAGTTGTCAAAATGGCAGACATGGTCGATTTGGCAAATAATAAGCTTTTTAACTAAAATTTCGGACGTGCTAGGAAGGATTAAAAAATAATAAATACTTGGTCTTTTCTCTTAGTGAGACATGTACAAACAAATAAGACAACTAACAGGACAGAAGACAAAAATCAACGATGAAACGCTCATGATAGGAGGAAAAATTCTTCGACGCTGGAGTGAGTATACTGGAGAACTCTTCCACGACGTAAGGGAACAACCAGCAATACACAGAATTACCGAATGACCTGGAATTCTGAAAACCGAAAAAAAGCATCACTAGCCAAATTGAACTGGACCAGACGGAATTGTTATTATTTTGTTTATTTGTATTTATTCATTTCAGTTTTCGATTTTTAAGTAAAGTAGTAAAATTTGTTTTCATGTCTGCATTTTGAGATGAGTTCAGATCGTTTATTTAATAATT